ATACATATATATGATATATATAAAAAATATCAAAACGCATGTGGGTACTCAAATGAAAGCTCTTGATGAGTGTAACATCGAGATGAGCTTATATCTTCAAACCCGTCAATATTTAAAAAAGTATGGTGCAATTTAAAAAAATTCATTATTCAATAAAGTAAAATTTTAATTTTTTATAGTTCACAAGTCACATAATGACTGCAAGGTTGCTAGTATATTTTTAATTTATTATACTTTTAAAATATGAAAAAATTCAATTTTTTTTATTTCTAAAAATATTTCTTCTCTTCAATAAAGAAAAAATAATTAAAATGTTAATTTGAAAGGACGAAAATTCCCGAGGATTAGATTGAACCTGAGCAATGATTGATGTAGTTTTTAATGATTTATAATTGAAGATGACGGAATTGTCAATTGACTGGTTGCTGGCCAGGCAGACTTATCCCAGGAGTCCACTTTTACTTCTTCAGATACACGGCCAGGTCCTGTTTTTACACAGCAGAGTCATGCCTTCGTTAGTCGTCCTTCTTCCATTCCATCGTCCTCCACTTCACTCTTCTTCTTCTTCTTCTTCTTCTTCTTCTTCTTCTTCTTCTTCGACTTGTTGATCGATCAACCAGGCTAGCACATAACAGTTACAATACTACTTTCTAACCTGACGCGTTATATCGAGTGTTGATCAATTCTCACTCGAGCCACAGCCCAATTAATACTTGAAGTCTCAAGAATCCAATTTTAAAGCCTTCAATCTTTTTATTGTTCTCAATTTTCATTTTTTTAGCAATTATTTCTTTTAGAAAATTTTAAATTCCAGGATTTGAGCTTTTTTGATTATTAAAGTACTAAAAAATTTAAGTATTAATTGTATTTTAGTAAAAAAAAAAATTTTGATATAGTCATCAGGTCAAAATTAATTTTTAATTTTATATAAATTCTATAAGATGTATATTTTGGATTATCAAGTCGTATTAAATCAAAATTAATTAAAAAGTTGATCAAATCAAAAGCTAATTAGAGATAAGTCTTTAAAAAAGTAAAAAAAAATTATTTTTCTGTTATAACTTAGCTTGTAAAAGTTAACTCTCTTATAAGGAGATAATTAAGAGACCATGCGCCATCTGTCGGAAATTTTCAAAACTAAAATTAAAAAAAAGTCTAGATATGGTCAATTTTTATATCAAAAATTTTGTATAGAATATATCAGACCAGATGTACGTATGTAATTTTTTTATATGGTCATATATGGATTTATCTGGTCATATTAGCAATTTTTTAAGAAATACATGTTTTTTTATGATTCTAAATGTTAATTTTTTAAAAAATTGCGCGCTTTTAACTCAAGAAACGTCATTTTTAAGTATAGCAATAAAAACGCGTGACTAGCGCCATCTTTTGAGGCTTCTAATAAGCTTCAAAAAAAATTTTTTCAAGTAAATTAAAAAAAAAAGAATTAGCAAATTGTCTAACTCCATTTTAGAGAATCTTCTATTTGTACGAAAAAAACAATAAGTTCAAAATTTATTATCACTTTAAAAAACCATTTAATATCTAATATAGATATAATATTTAGGTTTAAATCATTCAAATAATTTATAATTGGATTATTGGTAATTAGACCGTCGAGATGTTTTTTTTATGATTCAAAACGTTAATTTTTAAAAAAATTGCCCGCTTTTAACTCAAGAAACGTCATTTTCAAGTATAGTAATAGAAGCGACTGACTAGCGCCATCTTTTGGGTCTTTTAAAAAGCTTCAAAAAATTTTTTTAAGTAAATTAAAAGAAAAAAAATTTGTTTAGGCAAAAAAAAATAGGAAAAAAAGTTTAAATGTTTGTCTAAAAGCAAAAACTAGTTAAACAAAATGAACAAAATAAGAGTCAGGATGTGTGAAAAAAAGTAAAGTTAAATTAAAAGATCTCGAGCGTGTATCGTGGCCTGAGCCTACCTTACCTTGGTAGCATGTGGTGAAGCATCACGACCTCTTAGTGCCGATCGGATTGCCCGATTGCACCAATTTACATGTCTTAATCCCCCGTGCAGGCTCCGTCTGGAGTTTAAAAGACTAGACTGGAGCTGAGACTGAGACCGTTGTACACCGTACTACTCGGGGCGTGTTTCATGAATATGCGAGAACCAGGACTGAACGTTTTTAACTTAGACTTTTTATTTTATTAATTCCGTTTTGCTTTGTTTGGAGCTGGAACATGACCGAGCTAAAAGCCATAAGCTGGAACAACGACCAGAAAGAATAATGAAGATTTTTAATTGGTGATCCAGAGTAAGGTCAGAGGTCGCTCGAAAATGTTTATGCAAATGCCGGTTATTATTACTGGAGACATCGGCGTGGTGAGAAATATAATATTGAGGGGTTACCGCATCGCAAAACGCCTGGAAAGACGGCTGTATCACGTTGCCAACTTAGCAATACAACCAACTCGGGTTCTGTCCCGGACCACCGGTGTCTTTCTTCATCATGACCGCGAAATAAGTCATTCTGGTTACTTTTGAGGGCTTATTCTTGTTACATTATTTCATAGGTGTTCTGTATCAACATTATTACTTATTACGAAAAAGCGGTTTCCAACAGCGATTACCTCGTCCAGACTTGCGGTCGGGGGCTAATGGCTGGTAAAATACCTTGACCGCAGATCTGGGGCCCGAGAAGCTTTTCAATTCGCGATTGTGTTGCTTTTACTCAATGTTGGAACATTGTTTCGAGAATTTTGGTAATAGTTTGTTTATTTGTTGATAAATTATCCAAATTATTTATTTGATCAGATTTATTTATATTTGATTAAATAAATTTTCTTGGATCAAGATACGTATTTCTTAATAATAAAGCAAGAGAATTAATTTTGTTGGAATAAGTGAAATTTCTTGTGTCAAAAAAAAAAATTTTTTTTCGTTCAAGAAAATAATTAGGAAGAAAAATATATTCGCCTTTGGGGCCAACTGTTTTCCCAATTTTTTTTTTTTTTAATTCAAATAAATTTTTTTAATATTTAGCTTTAATTATTGATTTAAAAATTTATTGTCAATTATACTAAATTAAGAAATTGAAATTATTTTTCAGCGTCATCGCGACTGGGCAGTCCAAGAGCATCAGCAATAAGGGCCAGCCGTAAGCGCGCATTAAGCAGTTCTCCGTACTCAGATCGGTTTGACATTGACAGCATGATCCGATTTAGCCCGAACAGCTTGGCGTCGATCGTCAACGGATCGAGAAGTAGCAGCGCCAGCGGCAGTTACGGACACCTTTCAGCCGGTAACTTTATAAACTCTTTAAACTATAAAATAAAACACATAATACTTAATACTTGTCGTACTTAATGTTGCTTTTTATTTAACTTAAACTTTTTATTGCCTTTAATACCAGCTAATTATCTCCATCCTGCTGCGCTCAAATCTCTCCCGAGTAAAAAACGACCAAATTAAGTTATTATAATTATAATAAGCTCGTTGCGCTCAAGATTGATGTTTATTATCGATTATTTATAGACAACAAATGCGTCAGGGCATTTTTATTGTAAGCGTTTAAAGTTTACTTGGAGATCTTCATCTCCTTAAACGAACACAGGCTTAACTTCAGCGCACGACAGTATTCAGCTAAGGATGTTGTTATATTACTGCGCTATAACTGACAGGCTTTTGATCCAGACATCAGTAGTTATAACGAGTATGTTTCAACCCGTGACGAGACTTTACTTCCAAAGGTCTCTTGATCGTTAAATTAAAACCGGGCAATAATAATGTCTCTGGTTCTGCTTATGGCTGTCTTTGACTTTGATTTTTGCTTGACTTAAAAAAAAAACTCGGAAAAATTTTTAAATAAATTTTTGAACAGTCAAAAAAAAATTTTTTTTTTATAAATGTTTATAAAAATTTATTTAAAAATATAAATTTTATTTAATTCTTTTTTTTTTTATTTTTAATAATAATATTTTTTATTATTTTTGTCAAAATAATTAAACTCTTATTACATTAGCGACATTCTATTTTTATTTATTTTAATTTTATCAAGCTCTAAAAAATTAAAAAAAAATATTGCATATAATTATAATAATAATTATTTGTTAAAATTAATTGTAAAAAAATTTTTTTTTCTTAAAATTAAATTATTTTATAAATAAAATTAAAAATAATTTTCAAAAATTAAATTCTTCAAAAATTAAATTAGATAAAAAAAAATCTAAAATTAATAAATAATAATTTGTATTAAATAGAAAAAAAAATAATGATAATATGTCATATCTAAATTTACCAACTAAGCAAATTTTTTCGCTTCGATTTATGATTCAATTTAGTAGAAATAAAAGTCAAAATAAAAACGTGAAACAGTCCGACTCCGGGTGCTGTCAGATCATCTTTACTGACTTCCTGTTTCCTAAAAATGCTATTAAACTCTTTGATCGTTATTCTTTGTCGGGTCATTTACCTCTCACAGTTATAGTCGCACAATTCCCCTTGTTAATATTAAAAATAAATCTCATTGGTAACATTTAAATTGACATTTTTAAAAATACAGCTTAAGAAATTAAATGCTAAAATATAAATTGAAACGTTCAATTACATTAATACTTCTCAATAGTCACTTAGACTAGAGGATTTTATCGCGTCGGTTACATCAATTACTTATTGCACATTGCTGGTACTAAATATTTATCCAAGGAGTTTCGATTTGCTTATGTTACTGTTTAGTGTTTATTTTATCCAGCTACGAGAATTTATTAAATATATTATATATCAGATAACGATTTTATTCTTAGTACTGATAGCAATAAACATCAATATTTTATTTCATGTGATAAAATAATTATCCGGTTATATATGTTACACCAGACAGCTAAACTATTCATCTCTAATTATAAGTCTGGTTCGTTTTATTTTATTTAAATTAACGGTAATAAGTATGAAGACAATTTTAACTGTTAATTGAATTTATTCAATTTTTTATTAATTATATAAGGAAAATTCCGTGATAATTTAAAGAAATTGAAAAAAAAAATTTCATTTTAAAATTAATGAAAATAAAAGTAAAAATTCGGTAAATTTCAAACACTGTATTATCCACCATTAAAACTTATCATTAACTCTGTAAAAAAAAAATCACACGTCCATTAACATGCAGACTACAGCCGTGAACCGGAAGTGTCGGGTGATGCATTAAAATCGCCATTAATCGCCAGCTAAACAAACAAAATTTTGCAATAAATTTATTTATTTACTTCTTAATAAAAATAACAATAAAAATTAGTTAAGACCAATTTATTTTAAAAAAATTAATTACTAATTTTCAATAATTATTCCAGCAATGAGTCCAGCTTTAAGCATGCACCCAGGAATGCCGCCGCATCTCCAACAATTGCAAGCACACCTTCTCCGAAACGCAGCGGTGGCAGCTCTGATGCCTCACTCTCTCCAACCACCGGCGCCACCACCACCCCATCCGCACAGCCACCCTCATTCCCACGGACTGACGCCTCACAACCAGCTCTTCGTTCCACCACACTCGAGCGCGACGACCACCGTGGGGCCTCACCATGGTGTCCTGCCCTCAAAAACAGAGGTGAGACTTGGGGTTCAAATTTTAGATTTTTATTACATATTTTAAGGAAGATTTAATTGATAATTTATTAAAGAGTACAGAGTATTCAACGCAACAAACAATTTGTTGAGTTGAGGTATAAAATTTAAATTGATTGCTCACGTTAAGGGAGTAGAGCACAGGCGTGATTGCGTACTCCAAACAAATCGCCGTTTTGGGCTTAACACGAGACCCTCAAGCTTCCAGGACTACTTTTGTTTTATTTTATATTTTATATATATATATATATATATATAATAATACTTTTTATACCTTTATAATATATATAATATGTAGGTCTTATGCTTAACCAACTAAATAAGTAGAAAGAGAAGAAGATCGTGTTACACTCACGGTCATCGGATTACCCAACCAATCTCATGTAAATTACTTACGCTATCCGTCGATTATTCTTCAATTTTTTTATATCAAACTTTATTTTTATTTTTGCTTAAAAAATTTACTATTTTTTATTTTTTTCTATATTTTTGGATTTTTTTTTAAATTAAAATAACTTTTTGTTAAATTAATAATTCATTTTTTCAAATCTAAATTTGTAATTTTTGATGTTTAATATTTTACATTAATAAAAAAAAAGTACCAAAAAATTGATTTTAAAGAAGTTTTTAGTTTTGAATCAAGCGGAAAAATTCTTTAATCAAGAAAAAAAATGATTAATTCAAGAATTTTTTATTTGATTTAAAATTAAAAAATTTGCCAGTTTAATTTTTTTAATTAAAATTTTTTTTTTCAAATCACGTTAATTTTTTTATCAATAAAATATTTATTTAAAACTTATTATTATTTTTTTTAATTAAATTAAATTATTTTTTAACTAAAATACAAAATTTACAAATAAATAAATAAATAAAATAATTTCTTAAAAATAAAATATTATTATTATTATTATAACTATTTTTATAAAAATTTCTTTTGGTATAAATTAAAAACCACTTGAAAAGTTGCGCGAGCCTTGATATTATAGCACATGTCAGTAAAATAAACTCAAACTAAAAACCGTGAGTAAAGATCAACATTTCTTACAAGTATGGTTACTTGTACCGAGCAAAAAATGATTATGTACACGTACTTATACCCATTATATGTCTATATTGGGTAACAAGTAATGTATAGACAATATACAAGTGAAGCGTGGTTGTTCAGTTATATTACTTATTCTCGTTTGTTCTTTGATTGGCCGGTTTACCACTACACTTTATGCCATCATCATTATTATTATATTTATTATGGTGGTGGTTGTATGTTGTACCGAGTCTGAGGATCGATTAAAGCTGTTAAAGTTACGGTCTTAAACATTTACAGCCACGCGCTAGCTCTATGTATATTATAAATTATAAGTATAAATTAAACAACACACCATACTACTTAATTCTCTCTATGTACTATCAGCTCTTAACTCTTAACTCTTTATGGTTCACACTCTATGTGGGTAGTAGTCTTTGCTTTTATTTATTCTATAGAAATAGTAATAGTTTAAATTAATAGTGGAGAACTATTTACTATAGTGGCGATAATTACTGAATTGCGTGCTGTAAATTAGAGATATATATCCCGGCAAAGTAATTAACTTATACGTTATCAATTTTATTGTATCTTGCGTCTTTAAGGCGCACTATTATTATTTTTATTATTTTTTTTTTGCAAGTAATTTTATTAATAAAAATTTAAATATTCAATTCTAGGGTACGGAGTCCTGCAGAAAAGGATCAGACGCATCAACAAGATCGATAGCAGCTGAAGCAGATACATCATCAAGAAGACAAACGAAGGTGAAGCGGGAACCAGCGACGACAACGACGGCAACTTCGACGACCCAGCCAGTAAACCACCCCCAGGGGCTGAGTCCCAGCGAGGACTTGAGGGACGAGCCAGGAGATTTTATAGAGACGAACTGCCATTGGCGAGACTGCGGTCTCGAATTCCCGACTCAAGATGATCTCGTAAAGCACATCAACAATGACCATATTCATGCAAACAAAAAGAGCTTTGTTTGCGGATGGGAGGATTGTTCCAGAGAGGAAAAACCATTCAAGGCCCAGTACATGCTTGTCGTTCACATGCGACGGCATACAGGTGAAAAGCCCCATAAGTGCACGGTAAGTTTCCCTTTTTGTTTTTATTCTCAACCGCTCTAGATTGTTTTTATGATCAACATTGATAATAACTGGTATTTTATTGTATTTTTTTAGTTCGAAGGCTGCTTCAAGGCGTACTCGAGACTCGAGAATTTAAAGACGCACTTGAGATCTCATACCGGTGAAAAACCTTATACTTGCGAGTATCCAGGTTGTAGTAAAGCTTTTAGTAATGCCAGTGATCGAGCTAAACACCAAAATAGAACTCATTCTAATGAGGTGAGTTTTTTATTTTATTTCTTTTAATAATTTTTTGCAGAAAAAATTTTTTTTAATATTTTCTCAGTTTTAAAATCAAAATTTTTTAATTATTATATATTATTTTTGATTATTAATGAAATTTTGATTTATTAAATAATGTCTTCTGTTGAATTATACTGTACTTTCTTAATTATTGACATTTTTTTTTAAGATATAAGCTCATCCGGATGTTACATTCATTAAGAGCTTTCATTTGAGTACCCACTTGCATTTTTATATATTTTTCATATTTACATATATATGATATATATATATATATATATAAATATATAAAATATATGAAAAATTGATGTGGGTACTCAAATGAAAGGTCTCGATGAGTGTAATGTCGGGGTGAGCTTATATCTTTGAAAATATCATTAGCTAATAAGATACCACAGTCAGTTTTTAATTATTGACATTTTTTAAGATATAAGCTCATTGCGATGTTACACTCATCAAAAGCTTCCATTTGAGTACCCACTTGCATTTTTGATATATTTTTCATATTTACATATATATGATATATATAAATATATGAAAAATTGATGTGGGTACTCAAATGAAAGGTCTCGATGAGTATAATGTCAAGGTGAGCTTATATCTTTAAAAATGTCGATATATCATAAGATATAAAGTAATTTCTTAATTATGTAACTAGAAATAGAGCATTTTTTAATGGAGTCCAAATACTTGTAAAGTATAAAATAAATTAATTGAAAAAAATGTTTTTTTTTTTTCAGAAACCGTACGTATGTAAAGCACCAGGATGTACTAAAAGATACACGGACCCATCCTCCCTCCGAAAGCACGTGAAAACAGTCCACGGCGCTGAATTTTACGCGAACAAGAAACACAAGGGCGGAAACGACGGCGGAGGAAGCGACGAAGCGGGAGCTGGAGGCAACAGCCCTAGCAGGAGTGAAGATTTGCATCCGAAGACGCCAAGCTTATCGAGCCCGAGCGTGAAGTCCGAGAGCGAGGCGAACAGTCCTCCTGGAATGATCCAGCAGCAAGGCAGTCCGCTGGTTGGCGGATGCACCGACGAAATGGCGGGTGTTGGTGGTATAGCGGTCGACGCGGTGGTTTTCGACGAGCCCTGGAGCGAGGAGCCGGACAATCTGGACATCGCGGACCTGCCCGTCCCCCTGCGTGCAATGGTCGGCGGGATGGAGACTCAGCAAGCGCCTCCACACTCGCGGAACCGCTTGAAAGGCCGGCTCAATGTCAAAGCCATGCCTTCTCTGGCGCCGGGAGTTGGACTTCGCGGTACTCGCCAGATTTCTCAAGGCATCGGCGACCTCAACCGCAGAATCACCGATCTCAAAATGGAGACTGGCACCACAAGGCAGACCAGTCTCGCGGATCTCCAGCTGAGGCTACAGCCCCGCAGCGAGCCCAGACGCGACAGCAATTGCACCGTCAGTACTTATTATGGCAGCATGAAGTCCACGGAGTTCGGTAGCAGGAGAAGCAGTCAAGCCAGCGCTGTTGGTGCCGTCAGGATTGGACCTGCCGGTCCTGGTAGCTTCTACGATCCAATTAGTCCTGGGACTTCCAGAAGGAGCAGTCTTATGAGTCAAATAAGCGCCACTTCCGGGAGAATTAATCCTCCTGGGCCGCTTCAGACTCAGTACAACACCAACAATCTTGTTGTACAAACTCAAAATATGTCTTTGCAGGTAATTTTTTTTTTTATTTAACACACATATAATTTTTTTAGAAATTTTAAATCTTAATTATTAAATAATAAATTTTTGAAATTTTAATAATTAAAACTAGCGACATAGTAAATAAGTAAATAACATTTTGCTTTATTAAATAATGAGTTTCATTAAATAGTACTATACTTTCTTAAATATTGACTTGTTTAAAGGAATAGACTCATCCCGATGTTACATTCATCAAGAGCTTTCATTTGAGTACCCACATCAATTTTTCATATATATATATGTATATATAATATATATATATATAAATATATAAAATATATGAAAAATTGATGTGGGTACTCAAATGAAAGGTCTCGATGAGTGTAACATTGTGATGAGCTTATATCTTGAAAAAAGTCAATAGTTCAAAAAATACAAGGTCATTTCTTAATTATGTATCTAAAGATTCGAATTTTTTAATGCAGCCTTAATTTTCATCCAAAATTTTTTTTTCCGAAATCCGTAAAACTATTTTTTAACAAAAAATTTATTTCTTCAGTAAAATAAAATTGTTTGAAATTTCAAAAAAATCTTAATTATCTTCCAAAAAATTTTTTAAACTCAAATATCAAAACCAAATTTATAAAACATCTATAATAATTTTCAGGGCGCTCAAATTCTTGCCAACGAGTGGCCACCAAGCAGCAACTGCCTCCCGCAGCCATCCGGTGACCGTAGAATGTCGGAACCAACTCGAGGATACCAAACCCAGCAAACCTCCCCACCAGTGCCACCTCGCCCCCGATCCGCCCAACTCCCCGAATTACATCCAAACCAAGAAGTAGTCTTAGACGAAGTGGGTGAAGGCGAGATGGTAGAAAACAAACTCGTAATCCCGGACGAAATGGAGCAGTACCTGAACGCAGTGCAAGCCAACGGGCAGATAAACTTCCGCGGCAGCCCCCTACCAATCTGCCAATCTCCAATATGCACCAACCACCTCCACTACCCTCGCCAACAAAATTGCTACAACACCCAGCCATGCTACCCCCAATCCCCCCAAATGCAGCCTCAAGCTCAAATCCAAAACTGCCAAAATTACCAGGCACCATCTCCAGCTTACTCCCACTGTCCTAGTTCCAGAATGAGCCAAGCTTCAGGCTACTGTCCTCCCCAGAACTACCAGGTCCAATCCTGCAATTCTCAAATGCAACCTAGCCCAGTCAGCCAGGTGATGTCTCCCGGGTCCCACTACGCAGCCAGCCAAATGAGCGACCAACCAATGACATCTCCAGCAGCCGGAGCTCTGCCTCCTCAGCATGGAATGCAGAATCTCCAGCAAACTCCAGCTCAGATGACCCGGAACTGCAATCAGCAGAACCATCAAGTCTTTTATCAGTCTTATGGCTGTCAAGCTCAACAAATAATTCCTAACAATTGTCCAGCTCAGCAGGCTCCTAATTGTTCTCCAGTGGCGCACTCTCCGGGATTGGTCCAACCTTGTGGAACTGCTTTGAGGAACTGCCCCCAGATGTCGCCACATTGTGGACAAGTTCCGAGTCCTGGACCAAGAATTAATTTGCATAATAATCAGTGTCCAAGTCAGCAAGCTCAGAATCAGTGCAATCGTGGGAACAATCATCTAATTAATGATCTTCAAGTGAGAAATGTCCTTCCAGTAAATACTGACCAAATAAATGGTCATGGTCAAAGTCATGGTCAGGGTCAGGGTCAGGGTCAGGGTCAATGTCCAGGCGCTACTAATATTCAGCTAAATCAGAATCAGAATCAGAGTCAGAATTCAGTGCAAAATAATCTCCAGTGCACTCAAATAGCACCCAATTGCGTTCATCCGGGCGTCGCCCACTCGCCGAGACTTAATCATGCAAATCAGCAGGGTCCCAAGGGCATCACTTCGCTCTGTGCGAGGCAGAATAATTGCCGGGTACAGTCCCAGTGCGGCTGCGAGGCCCAATCTCAGACTCAGACTACGCAGGCTACTCAGTATGTATGCAATTGTCAGTGGAATTACGGCGACTGCTTCAATGGACATAATATGGGAGAGATCCAGTGCAGGGATATCAGCCAGTCCCAGCAAGGCTCCCCGGTCAAACCTCCCCAGGGGATGAGGCAGGACTCGTATAGAAGGACTCTTGAGTATGTTCAGCAGTGCCGCAATTGGTCAGGGACCCAGGTTCATGAGACCAGTGTGTCTAGCTCTACTCATCCGCTGTCGCTGCCACAGCCGCTGCCTGCTAGCACTAATATGGTGGTTAATGATATGACTTCTTCGTTGAGCTCTTTGCTGGAGGAAAATAGATTCTTGCAGCAGATGATTCAGTAAATTTTTTTTTGGGTTTGTTTCACTGAAAAAAAGTTAGTTTTTGGTAAATATTTATAAAGGGTCAACTATTTTTATTTTCAGCTTTTTGGATGGAATTTTTATTTGATTTTATTGATGTTTTTTTTGAAAAATACAAAACATTTATAAATTTTTTAGAAAATTGTGTTATTCAGTTTTTTTTTAATTGTTGGTTTTTTTATGTACTTTTCAAAAAAAAAAATTAATCAAAAACATCAAAAAACGATCAAATAAAAATTTTATCCAAAAACATGAGAGTCATAATTTTTTCCATTTTTTGAAGGCAAAAAAAGCTAATGAAATCTTTATTTTTTCGATAAATATTTAAAAGTGGGGTCTATTATTTTAATTTTCATTTTTTTGAACGAAATTTCTATTTGATTTTACTAATAAATATAAAAAATATATTAAATACATGAAAAATGAACAATTAAAAAAAAAAATTGATTATCACAATTTAAAAAAAAAAATTATAAATTTTTTAGAAAATTGTGATATTCAATTTTTTTCTTTTTAAATTGTTCGGTTTTTTATGTACTTTTCCAAAAAAATATATCAAAAACGATAAAATAGAAATTTTATCCAAAAACATGAAAGCCAAAATTTTTTAGCAGAATAAAAAAAAATTTGAAAATGTTAATTTTTCACTTAGTTATGGCCCAAAATAGAGTTGACCTCACTTGAAAATAATTACCCAATTTTTTTTTTAACTTTCTTTTTCAAAAATTTTTTTATTAATTTTTTTTTATTTTTTTTGAAAATGATATTTCAAATAACTTTTTTCCAGTGAGTTTATATTATTGGTCTTGAAAATTTAATTTTTGACTACCTCTCGGTGGCCCACGTGCCTTCTCAGCAACCCAGTGCCTTTATTACAATTATAATATATTTATTATCAATTAATTAATTAATTAATTAATTAATAATGTAAGTCTTATTAGTAAAATAGTTTATCTAGTGAGATAAATCGTAAACTTGTTTGGAGTGAGAACTATTACGGATATTTTATATAAATAATTATTAATACAGTTATTACGTAAAATTTCTCGAGCTCAGTTAAGAGTGTACGATGTACGCTGTGATAAATATTAAAAAATACAAATAATTATCTAATAAATAAATAAATAAATGACTTTTTTTATACTCACATGATAATTATTATTATTATTGAATTGTTGCATTTAAGTAATTTAGACACTGCAAGGCCAATATTAATTTTAAGGTGTAGATAAATTAAATTTTATCGAATTTTAAATACTTAAAATCACGTAAACATTTTCCAAGGAGTTTTTTTTTTATTATATATTAATTGAAGTAAAATAATAATAAAATAATTTAGGTGAATTTTGTACTTTTATAATTTAGGATATTTAATAAGTGAAATTAATTTCGCGGAAAATGTTCTTCGGAGAGTTAGAGACTTAGTACCTAGAATTTTTATAAAATTGTTATACAGATAACTTTTGTATTAATTTTACAAGTTAGATTAGTGAATTATTATCATTATAATTATTATTAAGATTGACGTATTTTGTGAATATTATACATATCTGTAAATCACTTTTGTATGAATAGAATATAAACTATAATATTTTATAATTAATAATTATGATTGATATTCTGACAAATAACATATATAGAAAGATTAATAATTTTGTAGATGTTTTAAAGAGTTAATAAGAGTTGTTAATAAATTTTAAAACCTTTGAATGATCCTTAAATCTTGTATTTTATTTCTTCTTTACTTTTTAAGTACAGAATAATTAATGATAATAATTAAAACTTTTTAATTAATATCTGAAATATTAATTATTAATTAAAAAATTACAAAATAGTAATTTATTTAAGTTCATTATATTTCTTCGTTACTTTAATTACAAAACAATTAATAATAACTAGCAACCTTGCAGTCACTGAGTGACTGCTGTGACTTGTGAAATATAAAAAAAATAAAATTTTGTTTTATTAAATAATGAATATTGTTAAATTGCACTGTACTGTCTTATATATTGACGTTTTTAAAGATTTAGGCTCATGACGATGTTATGTTTATCAAGAGCTTTCATTTGAGTACCCACATGCATTTTCATATATTTTTCACATATACATATATATAATATATATGTAAACATATGAAAAATCTATGTGGGTACTCAAATGAAAGGTCTCGATCAGTGGAATGTCGGGATGAGCTTATATCTTTAAAAATGTCAATAGTTGATAAAATACAAGGTCATTTTTTAATTATTGACATTTTTTAAGATATAAACTCATTTTGATGTTACACTCATCGAGAGCTTTCATTCAAGTACCCACATGCATTTTTGATATATTTTTCATATATTCATATATATAATATATAATATATAATATATAATATATATAAAATATATGAAAAATTGATGTGGGTACTCAAATGAAAGGTCTTGATGAGTGTAACATCAAGACGAGCTTATATCTTCAAAAATATCATTCTTAATAATATAGATAATTAAAATATCTTAATTAGTATTTAAAATTCTAATTAATAATTAAAATATTACACAATAGTAATTTATTTTATTTCTTCTTTACTTCAAGTACAAAACAATTAATAATAATAACAATTAAAACATTTCAATTAATATTTAAAAAATTACACAATAATATATAATAATAAAATATAATCAAATTACACCGATGAATTGTCTTCATTTTGATCTTCAGCTTCCGTTATCTACAACCAAAAACAATTAATTTTTTTTTATTAATCAATCACTATTAAAAAAATTTTTTTTTTCAATGTTTTTACCTCAGTATTAAAATCCAAACAAGTAGGCAATATAACAGTGGGTAGAACATCAGGCAGAGGAGGTGGAACAGGTGGTTCGGCATAAGCTTCATGAAGTTCCTCTAACCTCGTACTAAGAACAGAACCTCTGCGACTAGTGGCGGTCATTTTTTTCATTAACCAATCAGCTTGTTCTTCTAACCTCTTTAACCTAGCTGCGCGCGCCGCTAGAACTTCTTCAGGCGTGCGAGTTGCTTTTGAAGAGCTGGGTTGTGAATTATTAGAAATTGTAATTGCTTCCGGGTCTGGCTTTAATGAACTAAGTGTCATTACTTCTGGCTCTGATTGCAAAGAAGTAGGTGTAGCTTCTAATTGTAATGAAGTAGACGTTTCTGGTGTTAATGAACTACTTGTTGATGATAATGAAGTGGACACAACCGGTCTAGATGCTAATGAAGTTGTTCCAACTTCTTTTTTGTCTTCTAGCCTATTTATTTCTTCTTGAGAATTTTTATCTGGATGATGTTGATGATGTCCAAAGACAGGAGTGAGTTGACGAGCAACAACCGGCTCTGAAGCAACCACCGACTCTGGGAAAGGACCGATTGAAAATACAGAAACAGAATTAATTATTTTTAAAGCCTCTGAGGAGATTTCATGCACATCAATGTCCGTATGATCTGTATGACAAGCACAGTGTACTGTGTCTGAATGAGAAGGAGTGTCTTGAGTGATTTTCAATGATTCTCGATCAATGTCCGGTTGATTACCTGGACGTGGTTCGACATGCTCGCTGTCACTGGTGTGGTTTATCTGAATCAAGTTCTGAATAACATTCGCCAGCGCTTGGTCAAGAGGATCCATTTCTTCGACCTGTTCTTCCATAACCACTTCCTCCGCTGCTACTTTGTGATAATCAATAGCTTCTGGCGTGGGCGTTCTCTGCCGCTCGGGTGATGGCGGTTCGCTCTTCGACTCCGACAGCTCGGTGTCCGTTGGTTGCTCAGACTCAGTGTCTGGTGTTGGTGTCCTTGGACTCTCCTTTAATTTAAATAATCAATTCATTAAAAAATACTCTATCTCTAGATACATAATTAAGAAATGAACTTGTATCTTGTGAACTATTGACATTTTTCAAGATATAAGCTCATTCCGATGTTACACTCATCAAGACCTTTCATTTGAGTACCCACATCAATTTTTCATATATTTTATATATGTATATATGAAAAATATATAAAAATGCATGTGGGTACTCAAATAAAAGCTCTTGATGAGTATAACTTCAGGATGGGCTTATATCATTAGAAATGTCATCAGTAGACAAAATACGATGTAATTTCTTAATTATTGACATTTTTAGAGATATAAGCTCATCCTGATGTTACGCTCATCACGGCCTTTCATTTGAGTACCCACATCAATTTTTCATAAATTTTTTATATTTATATATATTATCTATATATGTATATATGAAAACCATATCAAAATGCATGTGGGTACTCAAATGAAAGCTCTTGATGAGTGTAACATCGGATTGAGCTTATATTTTAAAAAATGTCAATAATGAAGAACTGCTATCTTGTGAACTATTGACATTTTTAA